AGTCTGGATGGCTTCTGGGCAAGAGACAATGTAAATAGTAGTGCTGGAAAGAATAGACATAAATAGTGCTGGAGAGAATTTAAATACACAGTGCTGGAGAGAACATTAGTAAATAGTGCAGGAGATAATTTAAATACACAGTGCTGGAGAGAATATACATAAATAGTGCTGCAGAGAATTTAAATAGTGCAGGAGAGGATTTAAATAGTGCAGGAAAGAATTTAAATACATAGTTCGGAAGAGAATTTAAATACATAGTTTGAGAGAATTTAAATAGTGCTTTAAAGATTGCACATGAAAAGGGAATGTGGTGGAGGCAAACTACACAAATATTAAAGGTCTGATTATATTTCTAGCTACATAGTGGCAGGTGTGTTATTTTCTATACTGGAGCATTCTAATATGTCCAGAAAGCAGCAGCATACTACCAGTAACATAGGTTAAATGAGCAGAGCAGCCATACAGTGCTATAGAGTTAGATACAGTTAGAATGCTCTAGATTGTAAACTTTTTGAATAAGATCCTCGATAAACTTGTTTCTTGTTAACGCTTGTCACAATTTGTTTCTTGTTTTCTGTTATATCCTCACATTAAACCTGTATAGCACGAATATGTAATCGCTATATAAATGTCAGTTATTGTAACAGCACTCTAGGACTGACTATGGAATAGAATGTGTATATATTCATTCCAAAATGGAACATCTCTATTAAACTATCTCCACTTGTGCTCTGCTGTGTTCAGAAAAGAATGGAATCAAAAAGCAATGGGTTAATAAATTAGGGCTGAAAAGCGGTAGGCATCTCTATAGAAATATAAAATAATATTCAATATAAAGATTAAAACAATACCACTACCCCCTAAAAGATGATACAATTTGCAATGTATAGAAAACCAGCTCATGATTCCCACTCATTTAATGGACTGTGTATTGCAGAGTATAGGCAATAGATATTGGAAGAAGTTGTCGTGCTAAATGCTGTGACACAAATCATTGATCACTCCAGTGTTGGAAAAGAAGAAATAAAGGAGTTACTGAAGGTGGGATGTCAATATCAATGAATATTATGCATCTGAAAATGCCGAGTTTAAAGGGACCCTTCCGACTGCATTTGACCATTTATTGTAATGCATGATATTTGAGGCTATGGAGCAAAAGAAAAACTAAGGAAGATTTATACAAAATCCACAATCATAACTACATGTAACATAAAATACACTATTGCATCTTACATAGATTTGATGTTAGTACCTTGAGTGCCTGCTCCAAGTAGGCCTAGCTCTGCCACAATGTTAGCAATTAGGAATGTCACGCCCCTCCAAAATGAGCATTTCATAAAGATAATAGCTTTATAAAATACTTGGATTGAGTGTGTTGGAAATTCACTGAAATACCAACTCAGTCAAAAGATTTACTGATACAAAGTAGAGACTTTGTCTCAGTATTTTTCCTACACCAGACAAAACTTGACACTAGGTGGAGCTACCGCTGACTGGCAGGAAGAGGATGGTGGCACCCATGAGGGACAGGTTCAGGTCAGTAAATCTAACCTTCCCTGGCAACCAGACCCCGTGCAGAGATGTCACAGTTGAGCGTCTTTGCAAATAATGTAAAGACCCCAGGTGATGACAGAGCCACTTTAAGGTATTCATCCAAATGATTTACAGCTGCATCCTATATGAACGTTAATGGGTTGTGATAACTAAGTTTGCGACAAAATTCTTTATTGATTAATAACCCAGTGTAATTCAAAAAGTTGCTCCAGTTAATTGGTGACCTTATCCTAAATTGATATATTATACACATCGAGAAAATTCATAATATATACACAATATTTACAACCACTGGCCATTTCATATAACATACACCAAGCACAAGCTCATGGTATGTACAATGATTATTAACAACTAATTTACAGTCCTGATATCCCATACGAGTGGGGATAAGATATCCTAGATGGATCCACCACCTGTTAATGTGCTAATAGGCCTTAAAAAAAATTTAAAAAAATTGCTATTATTGGCAAATAATAAAAAATAAAAAAATAGACCAAAAAAAAAAAAAAATGGAAAAAGCAAAAAGGAAAAATTGAGGAAAAAAGTCTGTAAAGCAGGGTGGATTTCACCATCAATAGTGATGTCTTTGCAGGGATATGCAGTAGTTGTATAGAGGGTTTTCCTAGAATGTAAAAGGCGTAACCCAATGGAACAGTGGAGAAGAGAGTCCTCTTTAGTTTTAAATATCTGGCCGTGAAGTTCTCATGTAGTGTCAGATCGGTTGGCAGCAACAACAGTCCTCAAGGCAATCTGCTGAGCGGCAACAAATGGACGAGAGGGATCAGCTGTTCAACAGCAAACGTTTTTTTTTTAAGGCCTATTAGTACATTAACAGGTGGTGGATCCACCTAGGATACCTATAAATATGTAAATATTGTGAATATATTATGAATATATGTTATGAATTTTCTCGATGTGTATAATATATCAATTTAGGATAAGGTCACCAATTAACTGGAGCAACTTTTTGAATTACACTGGGTTATTAATCAATAAATGAATTTTGTCGCAAAATTAGTTATCAATTTTTCCTTAGCATGCATAATTAATGCATAGAGTGCGGTATTCATGTTCAAATTTATGTATATATTATGAGGTTACATTGGGGTTGACCTCGAATACCTGCACCCACATGTGATTGAGTGCCAGAACAATTTGGATTTTTTTTAATGGGTTGTGGCCTATTTAACACTTTTAGGAGTGATCTTTACAATAAATTAAGAAAAAATAGGCATTATAAAAACAATAATAAATTTCATAAAATAATGAATTTTATCATCAAAATAAAGACAATAAAAAACAAAGTTTGCAAAGTCATATTTTGTACAGGGCACACCACTCATAGCTCCGATGACAGATCAGGTAGAAGAACATGCCGATCTTCTGTCTGGTTCAGCTGCACTACAACAAGAGATTGGGTGGAGAATAAGCAGACACGTATGGTGAAGAGATGGGGGGTTGGAGAGATCATACATGATTGTAGTGGTCAGGGAGACGTATAAGGGGCTAGAGAGACAAAGAAGGGAAAAGGAGGTGGCTGCAAACACAAGGGAAGGAAGAGAAGCTGGAGAGACAAACAAGAGGAAGGGAGGCAGGATGAGAGATAGACAGTGGGTAGAAGTGGTTGTAGAAACATATAAGCATATAAGGCAGTTAAAGAGAAACAGAAGGGGTGAGGGGGATTGGAGAGACAGACACACACACAAACACAAAAATGCAAATTCCAAAGGGGCCAGCCCACAGTCAGCCTGTGCAGGGTATGTGCAAAATGTTCCTAGGCACCCTCTAATGAAGGGCCAAATGTCCTCACTGTTCACTGTTTTGGTATCTCTGGGACGTTTTGCATGAGATTGGGTTAGCTTGTTCTCTACAAAAAAAAGCCAATGTATACAACTTACTGGTAAGGCAAAATATAATTGGAATTTCTTTTTTCAAATTAGTATTTTTTTAATTTATACTGTTGTATGATTTTCTCTGGGTGCACACCCTAATATAAGGTTCTGCACACAACTACACCAACAGTAATTTGCACTCTGTGTGCTATATATCTAGGCAAACTTCTCCATCGAACTATATGTCCCACAAGACTTTGTCCGCTGTAGCATAACATCAATGAACACGTGTTTCCACAACAGCTGAGGATTTAAGGATGCTCCTTTCGTAAACCCTCAAATTAACCAATTATATGCACTGTAATGGTACATCTGAGTGCAATTTAAAGATGAGCTGCACATTTTCCTCCAAAGTCAACTACTGAAACTCATCGGGTGCACAATGTTGATCTATGTAGGTATACCAGAGTATCAAAGCCTCTTGACATGAGTAATGCTTTTGTATTTGTGTCAATGGAGGTTCATCCATAGGGGCACTTGTGGCAGAGTCCTTCCAGTATTCATGTGGGGACAAGAATGTATTTGCCGTAGTTTAGAAACACTAAGATTCTTTTTCTGGAGGGAAAAAAAATTGTCTCTTTAATTGTGTAATAGGTTTCAGTTCTGCAGAGGGTCCTCTCCCTTCATTGGTAGCTGTTTTGAGAAGTATTCTTGAGAGCATGTTAAAAACAGGGATGGTTTGAAATCTGTCCTGTTTCAGCATGTTTTACACGTGCCTAGTATCCTTTGAGAAGGAAGTTCAGGAATTTCCATTGAGTTGCTATTTGGGCAGCAGAGGGAAATGGGCATTTCTGACACACTGCACTGTTCTGTCTGTCACTAATAGTTTTAATAACTCCTACTGCTCATACCCACCACCTTCTTTAAAGTGCCTAGTCACTGCACAGCCGAGACACTCATGCTGTGGCTAGTTGAAAAGTTGTGAAGCTTCAAACTGCAGGACTGGGGCTGTGACTCTGAAGACTGATCTGATTTCAGTCTGTTTTAATATGTTATGATTGTTGAATCTGTTAACCATTTCAGATACTTTCTGGCTCCCTCCCACCACTGTAGATTAATTA